CCACCCCCCCGTTTTTGATCCCATTCCCCACTCCACCCCCACAAAATGTCTCTAGTATATGGCTGTTCATTATTATTATTTTCTTGCCTGGTCCATTATACTCCTTCTTAGCAGTGACTTTTAACAAAGAATTTAATATTATACTTTCTTTCCATGGGCAGTAGGTAAGAGTAAATGGGCTTAATTTTGCAACTTCAAGGTGGTTTCTCTTGGTGACTTCTATCACTTGTGATGAATCTTCAGGCATCATTCTTGATTATATTTCCCAAAATGTGATGTTTCAGTGTTCTCTAGATTATTGAAAAGATCTAATCTCCATCAAATTAACATTTTGAATATATTGTTTTGTTTAATCATTTAGTTCACAGAGTAGTTAAAAAAACAGGTATAAGGACCCTCCCTGGTGGCGCAGCGGCTGAAAGCACACCACTAAGAAGCTAAAGCCACTTCAGCACGAGTTCGATCCCCGCCTGCCCCGAAAGTAATCCACATGGCGCGGCAGACCTCTCCTGACCCGCCCGCTGCTCCCCTCAGCAGTGTACTTCGTCAGTCGGCCTGTTCTTCTCCCCACTCTGTCTCTGGTGAAGCCTCTCACTCCCTGCACCTTTGGCCTGTACCTCAGTTCTGTGTGCATAAATAAATAAATCTTTAAAAGAAAAAAAAATACGGGTATGAATGATAAAATGTGAATAGGGATAAGAACTACCCCAAAAATGGCTAAATGAATGTTATTGTGGGGAGGGTTAGCTTGTTATTGGCAGTGCACTGGGGAAAACTTGTATTGTCTCAACTAACTTCATGGAAATACAATTCCCAGAATTTCTTTCTTGTATTATTTCGGGTTGGGGTTGTCTGCACAGGGATTAGTGCCAGAGCTGAGGGCAGCTGTGACGCAGGAGCCAGGTTTCGTCTTCTGCAGGCCGGAGCCGGCTCCAGGCAGGTGGCGACTCACCTGTGCTGCCCTGCTCTGCCCGTCAGTTTAGTGCCCATCACAGCCCTGCTCCCCCCAGGTGTCCTTCCTCTGTCTGCATGTAGCAAGATGCAAGTGATACCGAAGGCTCATACCCCATGTTTAAGGTGGTGGGAGAGACAAATTGTACTTTGTCTCCCTGGTCCGCAGCTTTGTGGGCTCAAGCATATGCTAATAGGCAGGTTGCCCGTGGTTTGTTCACATCCAAGATTCCTTACAAATGTTGCACTAAGAAATTTATAGCAAATCTGGTGGCTATTGTCCATATAAACAGAAGATCTTTGTGTAGATTCTCTTCCTAGTTCTAGCAATGACATGAAAGCTAAACCCTGTGACTCATCAATAGATTGATTGTACCTCACTCACTATGGTTCTGCTTCTCTGACTATATTTAACTGAAAAGCCTCAAGGAAACAGCTAAGGAAATGATTTTCATGATGGTCCGGATGACTGGAGCCAGCTTTGGTGTGAGCATCTTTAAGTGCAGTTGCCACTTGGAATCATTATGGGGAAATTTTTCAACATTGGGCAAATATGCAAATTCTGTACTGCTGATTTTAAGTGAAGAAAGTAAGACTGAGAGTGTATTAGAAGAACATTATTCCTGACACCTGTTTCCAAATAACACAGAAGGAGGTTTTACTTAGAATTCCCCCTGATCCAGACTACAGAAGAATCAACCACAGTCACGGCCATCGCCTGTTCGGGACATGCAGGTGTGACTTCAGCTCGGATCCTGAGCAGAGGTCTTACACTTCTTGCACTCAGGGTTTTTGTTCAGCTTTTGCTATCATTTCAAACACAGTGTATCACTGAGAGCACAGAAATACATTGCCGAATCTTCCAGTTGTAAGGATTTAATGGTGAGGGGAAAGGTGTAGTCTGCTTTCTGGAGTTTTACAGAAAAGCGGCCCTTTACCGCATTGTTATCAGAAGAATACTGACGAATAACATTAGTCATCTTCCCATCGGGAAGCTGCTTGTACCAGTACAGGTAGTATGTACTCCAACTCCAAGGTACTTCATACCGACACTTCAGGGTGACTTGGAACCCTTTTTGTTGGACTGTAGTTGGCTCGTCTTGAACTACTTTCTGGGCCACACCAGATCCTGTGGGGAAATAAGAAACAGAGCTAATGCAGTGAGTATAATATTAAAGAATTAGACTAATTTTGTACCCAAAGATAAATCAAGTTGAAATCATCACATGCCTGCTCTCCCGCCTCCTCCTTCCCCGCCCCCATCCATGCCAAGCACATCATGCCTGGTGCTGGCCTTCATTCTCCCCACTCGCGCCTGGTCCTGGACCTACCAGAGCAGGCGAAGGCCACCAGTGCCCACAGCAGGCTGGAGGGCACCATGGGCGTGTGTGCCTGCCGCTATGGCAGTTGTGCCTCTCACTGTCTGTGAGAGCCCAGAAACACATTTATGCAGTTCCTGGGGCTTGATGTTGCTCCCCCACAGGAAATGGGGTTTCTATGTAGCACTGTCCACGTGAGACAACGATGAGAAATGATTTGGTTCACCACAGTCTTGGACTTTTGTCTCCTTGCTCGTTCCTGGTAGGTATGAGGATAAGTGAAAGGGAGCATAGAAAAGCTTTTAGTGTTATAGATTTTAGCTGAAGGGAAAAGAAAGTTGAATTAGTTGACATGATTTCATAATTTTCAGCGGGGTCGTTTGGGGACCGCATTGAAAAGAGAATGGATTTTCCTTCCTTGTATCTTATTAGTACTTATTCATTTGACTTGCACTCATTTGTCTACATCCAAAATCTAATGGAATTTTAGAAATTCACCAATATGTGGCTTTCACGATGAAAATGATTCTACTCAAAGCATTTGTGTATCTCTTTCTTCCTTCTGGTTTCTTGACCTCTGCTGCTGTTTCAAAATCAAATGCTAAAAATCAGTCTTCTGACTTGAAAATCTGCTAAGTTCTTTATGCATCTGTGTAATTATAACAAGATTTACATTAACTTTTGAAATCTGACTCTGATATTTGTTAGATTCTGAGCAGAGTCAGGTATCAGTGCAGTTGCTATACAAGTAATCACACTAAGAAGGTGACTGACTGTGGTCCTCCCTGGTGGCACAACAACAGGTTGAAGCACAGTACTACGAAGTTGGCCACAGCTGCTTCAGTGCAAGTTCAATCCCCAGCCCCGGAGGAGATCCACATGGAGCGGCAGACCTCTCCTGACCCACCCGCTGCTCCCCTCAGCAGTGTACCTCATTGATCTGCCTGTTCTGCTCCCCACTCTGTCTCTGGTGAAGCCTCTCACCACCCCTCCACCTCTGGCCTGTACCCCAGTTCTGTATGTATAAATAAATAAATCTTAAAAATATATATTAAAAAAATTAATAGTGTGTTTCCAAAATAAAAATATGTCTGCCTCTGGGCATTGAAGGAGTGAGTATTCTTTACCACTTTATCCTAAAAATGATCTGCAAAAGAGCTTTATGTGAAATTATCGCATTCTAAAAATTCTGTTTTTCACTTAACACAATATTGGCACTATCCAACAGATGCCAAGTTTTTTTCCAGGATAATCTATTACTTTTAGCCCAAGGCTGTCTGTATGTTATAGTTGTCATTTTGAAGTCTATCCATTTCTTACCTGTGAGGAAAAAATTCAAAACCAGTGTTCCTCCAGAATCCTTTCTGCCATGGAAAGGTTACTCATGGATTCAGCAACAGCAGCTCTTATTGGGACCAGGCTTGGGCTGTTTTTTTTTGTTTGTTTGCTTACTAGCTCTGGGACATCCTATTTCTGCAGTGGCTCTTTAAGATGTTCCATTTTTATTTTTTCATTTTGTTAATGATTTATTTGAACACTTTTAAACGTACTGCTTTTGGGTCCTGTCCAGAGATGCACTACAAGTATACTTTTGCAATCACTCATTTGCCACATTCTTTGCAATGACTTTTTTTTTTATAACAGTTTATTTTACATTTTTACATTTTTTTTCCATCTCAATTGTAGTCCCCACGGGTTTCCCATCACCAAGCCACCCATGTGCCATCACCATAATCCTGTGCACTCCCACCCTCCCATTTTTTTTTTTTTA